GCCGGGCTCAGGGCCACCGAGGCCCCGGGCCCGGCATGTCGCTCCTCCTGGCGACACGTGCGGCTGTGGGGGAAGGGAAGGCACATGGCGTCTGCTGGAACACTCGGCGCTAAGCCCGGCCCCTTGCATAAGCTGTTGACTGTAATAGATGGGGAAGGCTGCGCTGCTGCGGCTCCTGTGTGAGCTGTGGGGTTGGCTGCCTCGCTTTATATAATGCTGGCAGCCCTGGGCTGTCTGCTTTGCTGTTAACTGCTTCCTCTCCCTGCAGAACAGACGGTTAAAAATGGCATCTTAGCTTTCCCAGAGGGCTTCTCAAAGCTCTCAGACCCCAGAAAAATAAGATCTGAGTGGCCCTAGCAGGCTGTGGATGCTTAGTGAAGTAGGGGAATGGGGAACCATGGCTGCCTTTTCTGTAGCGTGATCTGACACAGGTTAATAGCATGAGACAGGTCTGCTAGAGGCCCTATGGCATGAGGGAGGATGGTGATTTCTCTGATTGTGGGGAAAGAGCTGTGAAGCAAACTGGGATTTGTCTTATTTGAGATGGGTGGAGGAGGGGTCACTAACTGGCTGTGACTTTCTGTGTCAGGCGAGGAAGAAGTAAGGTCAGAAGCAGGCTAGAATATCTCAGGGTGTCAGGGGAACAGATGCAGGTCTGGGATTTGCCATTTTAGGGAGACAGGGAGTAATCAGGTTGAGGTCTTGTACAGGGTTCTAATGGGAGCTCTGGGAAAGAGATGTGATGCTAGGCCTGATTGAGTTGGCGCTGTTTTGTTGGTTTTCCCATGGAGATGAATTAGTACATGGGGATTTGTTTTCTAGGGTGGTTTGAGTTTTTGCTTGCTTGTTTGTTTCATGGAGATGAAATAGTACATGGGGATTTGTTTTCTAGTGTGGTTTGAGTTTTTGCTTGCTTGTTTGTTTTTTTAAATATCCCTTTGAGGGATGCATCAAGTAGAAGCTAGGTCTGTAAGGATTTATGTATCCAAAGCGAAAGATTATCCTCAGCAGATAGCAGGATGCAGTTTGGCTGTCATTTCCTTGTGTCTTCTGTGGTAGCAAGGCTGTGTTGTTTCACCTTGCTTATTTTGTCTCCAGAATTATTGAACTGAATGGCCACAAGCCACCCCTCACCTACAAGCGCTTCCAGGCCATCATTAGCCGTATGGAGCTGCCAAAGAAGCCAGTGAGCACTGTAATAAGCCAGCAGATGGAAATGTGTAAAGTGGACATCCAGGAGAACCACGACGATGTGTACGGGGTCCCATCCCTGGAAGAGCTGGGTATGTGTTGACAGTGAAGACAAGGGTTAACTGCCAGCTGAAACTGATCTGGTGAAGCTCTTTCTGATGGCCAGAGTGTGCCCAGGACAACTCCAGTGTTCTCTGATCTGGGCTGCCTCTAGCTGTTAGAAGCAGCCTAATGGTATCAGCGAGTGCTGGACCTCATGAAAACACACTGCTGTCCCTCGCACTACTGTTGATGCACAGCATCCCCTTTAGCATTGCTCTGCAATGCCCTGCATCTGTCCTTATGTTCTTTGCTGTACTGAGCATGTAACCACCCTATCAGTGTCTCATGTCCTCGCCAGCTGCTTTCCTCCTCCTGCCATCTATGACACGTTGTGTAACAGACCTGAAGAGGTGTACTAACTCTGTACCAGGCTCAGATCATTTCATTCACTTGTTGCCAAGCAGCACCACTTTGAGAGCTTAGCAAGACAAAAGATGTTACAGAAATTTCTTTCACTCCTCCCGCTATGCCTTATGGTCCTGTATTTTTGTTGGAGAAGGAGCATGAATAGAGAGCGAGGAATGCAAGGCGTGAATCTAAATGCAAGGGAGAAAAACGATTAATGCAGAAAACTGCCTTCTTGTGTATGACTGGAGGCTCAACACCAGCTTTAGAGGAGTATCACCTTGTACCTTAAGGCACAGTTTCAGCAGTCATGTAAAAGCAGAGGGCTTCACAACAGGAGTATCCTGAGGGTTGCAGTCTGTCTGAGGTAGATCTGTTTCCTTTATTGTCTGGCCTAATGTGAGACTGCCTGCAACCTTACACTGCTTTGCTTGCTGCCAGGGGAGGCTCCTCTGTCAGCCCAGAATAGTGCAGGTCAGCTGCATTATTGCTTCTCCTTTTGCATCAGCTCTTCAGCACTAATCCACTGCTTTCCTCAGCACCAGCTTTCAGAAGAATAGGAGCCTCACCAGGAGCAGCCAGGCTATTTAGTGAGCCACTGGCGTCCATGGCAAAGTATTTTGTAAGGCAGAGCTGTGGAGCAGACGTTCCTTTCCCAGCTGCTCTGGCCTTTGGAGCAGAACCCTGTGGGTGGTGCTGACACACAAGAGAGTGCTGGCGTAGGAGCAATGGAAAAAGGCCCCAGAAGGCTGCCTGAAGCATTGCAGGGAAAGGCCCTCGTAGTGCAACGTCGTGAGCAGGCTCTTCTCGTGTTCCATGTGATTTGCCTGCTGTAGAAGGACTAGGGTAGCAAGTAAGCCATGTTAGGCAACTGCAGTATGTAGTCTTGCTGTTATTAATGCTTAATTGCATCTATACCCTTTGTGTAGGTGTGGCTTCAAATCTTAACAAGTTCTTTCCTGCAGGCTTTCCTACGGATGGTCTTGCCCCTGCAGTTTGGCAAGGCGGGGAGACGGAAGCCTTGGCACGGCTGGATAAACACTTGGAAAGAAAGGTAACGCCTGTTATTTAATTCCTGCACACTGTGCTTACGAATTACAAATGTTGAGCATTGGCCATTGCTGTGTTTCCCTGCTCTTCCTAGCAGTGGCCGCAGCATTCATCTCTGGAAGGGGCATCTAGAGTTGGAGTACTCCTGTGGTCTTGGCTTGTTTGTGGAGCAGGGAGCTCCTGGGCTTCCTCATGCCCAAAGAAGTAGAGCTGTATGTTAATTATGCTGCTGTTCGAAGGAAGCACATAAGATTCTTTTCCTTGTTTCTACTCCTTAGTTTCCTTTAGAGGAGTGTAAACTTGGAAACTCTCCTGTAAGTTGCTCTGTCCCTGCTGCAGACTGCACACCATCTGGTTTTGTCTTTAGCTGAGGTATTAGTGTGAGTACATGCTCATAAAAGAATGCCTTCCCCATGTACATCAGGCTGTTAATATGTTGTCTCACTGGCTGGCATTCCTTGAGCCGCTTGCTGAAATACCCAATTTTTTTCTATGAGGCACATATTCTTGATTATAGTGTACAAGGCAAGCAATTTCAAAGTAATGAAAGATGACCCAGCTGCAGAGGCATGACTCAATTTTAACCAGTTTGTATCTTTTCAATGCTGGGTAGCTTGGTGGCAGTTGTAGAGATGAAAGCATAAATTCTTGTGCTGAAGGGGGAATAAACTGTCAATGTGATGCTCCACAAAAAGGTCTGAATTTCCCTAATTTTCTTGTTCAGCATGTGAAATGAGATAGACGTACCTGGATATAAACAATTGTGTTAGCTTGTGTCCCTAGGAGCTCTCAGGGTTATTAGCTCCTGCATGCAAAGCAGACTTAGTCCTTTTCTTAGCCAAAATGATTAACTGGTTTAAATCGTGGAGCAAAGGTTTTACATTTCTTGAATGGGGTGTGGGGATTGGGACTGCCCACTTGAGATCTCTCCCAGCAGTGGTTGGAGGTATATAGAAGAGATTCTGCTGTCAGACCTGAACGGCTTCCCCACCTGCACAGAGTCCTGCCCTTATCAGTATTGTACAAATTTTGGGTTTTTTTTGGCTCATTTCTCCTGACTCTCTCTAGGCATGGGTTGCAAATTACGAAAGACCAAGAATGAATGCCAATTCATTGCTGGCCAGCCCTACAGGACTCAGTCCCTACCTGCGATTTGGCTGCTTGTCCTGTCGCTTGTTTTACTACCGTCTCTGGGAGCTGTATAAGAAGGTAAGACAACAGGTTAATGTGGAGAGGAGGCTGGTTTTGAGCATAGTGTGATGCTGGTTTCCAGTGTGCCAGAACAGCTGCAAAAGTTACTGTTGCCTCCGTTGTGTTCAGCTGTTGGGCTAAGCTTCTTGCTACTACAGAAGAGGCTCTTGGGTGAGGGAAAGTGGTTCTCCTGTATACACTTGAGCAAACCTTAAATCTGCCAGTACCCGGTTCTTCAACCTGGACTCCTGCATTGTGAGAAGTGTAGAGATTTTTCCTGTTAGTTTTGGGTTGTTCAAGTCTCTTCTCGGTCTACTAAGTGAGCTAAAAGCAGCGCTGACTTTACTACCTGGGGTTTCTGGTGAAGGGTGATGTGGAACCTTTATGGATCTGCACTTTTATGGCAGTTGTCAGTAGCTGTGTATAAATGCATGGCTGCCTTACAGCTCAGCTGTATGAAGCCAGTCCTGCCCTGCTTGTGAATACCCTTGTTTCCTCCTCTACAGGTAAAGCGGAACAGCACACCCCCCCTCTCTCTGTACGGACAGCTTCTGTGGCGGGGGTTTTTCTCAACAGCAGCCACAAACAAACCCAAGGTTGGTCGTATGGAGGGGAACCCCATCTGCATCCAAATCCCCTGGGACAGGAACCCCGAAGCATTGGCAAAGTGGGCAGAGGGCAAGACAGGCTTCCCTTGGATCGATGCAATCATGACCCAACTAAGACAGGAAGGGTGGATCCACCATCTGGCCAGGCATGCGGTGGCCTGCTTCCTGACCAGGGGCGACCTCTGGATCAGCTGGGAGTCAGGAGTCAGGGTGAGTCTGGCATTTCCAGAGGCTTGCAGGAGGCCGTAAGGAAACTTGCTGCAAGGATGGGCACACAGGTATGGCTTTTGCTTCGCATATAAAAGTTGCATGGAAGAGAGGATTTGCTAGCAGGCTCTTGGCCTGCCAACAGCCTGACTTTTTTCTGCCATGAGGCTCTGACAGTACCAAGAGTCTCCAGTAACCATAACTAAATGTTAGTGGGACCCACTGGTAAATATGGACTGGGGTTTTGGGGGCTTTTTAATTTTTTCTTAAGAGTTCTCTTAGTCCATCTATTTTCTTTGCAAGTTCAATGTCACTTTATAACCGGACCTTTTCCTCATTGTATAATCCATCAGTGCGCCGGTTAGGGAACGCTCCATGACTGTGAAATCTGAGTCTAGAGTCTCTCAAGGAAAGAGGTAAAAGACCTTTCTCTTGGGCCATCTGAAGGGACAGACAGCTTGAACCTATCCAGTGTACATACTGCTCTACACAAAAAGCGGAGGCAGTGGCATCTTGTCACAAAGCTGACAAAGCAGAGCATAGCTGAAAGTGCGTCATAGGGTCAGATGCTAAAAGCACAGCATCTGTGCATGGATGCGAGTGAGTTACTGCTGAAACCTGTCCATTCCTTGGTGGTGGTGTGCTCTGGGACCTTCAGAAGGGTTCTTCCCTCTTGCTTTGGTGCTTGTTCTTCTGTGCAGCATCTGCCTGCTTCCCAGGGTTAGTGCTTTGCTCTTGTTATGCCTGCCAGGTTAGGATCAATCCCTAAAGCTTGCTGCAACACTGGGTAGTGATTTAGTCTGTAGCTGCACGAGACATAAGACAGCACTTTATCAGCGTGAGCAGACAGTGCCTCCCTATGCTATGAAAGCGTCAGGAAATGAGATATATTGACCAGCCAACTGGCTTCAGACAGCAGATTGCCTCTTTGCTGCTGCTCTAGTTCCTAGGAGCTGTTCTCACAGCTCAGTGCCTGCCATTTGAAATAGCATCTTGGGTCCTGCCCCAAAGTCCTGCCTGGGGAGGGTTTCACTGCCTTTTCCTTTAATTGTTGCAGGTATTTGACGAACTGTTACTGGATGCAGATTTCAGTGTAAATGCAGGCAGCTGGATGTGGCTTTCATGCAGTGCATTCTTCCAGCAGTTCTTCCACTGTTACTGCCCTGTGGGCTTTGGACGTCGCACAGACCCCAGTGGTGACTATGTTAAGTAAGTGATGTGACTGGAGCTTCTGTCTTGCTTGATGTGTTAGCGTAAGTCCTTCAGTAGCTGACGGGTGTGTGGAGCTTTCTGTGCATTGTGAATGCTGCATTGCTGCACTTCTAAGTGGTGTTTGTGCATCTCTTTACTTGTGTTGCAGGAGGTATCTGCCCAAACTAAAGGGCTTCCCCTCACGATATATCTACGAACCATGGAATGCTCCAGAGTCTGTGCAGAAAGCAGCCAAGTGCATCATTGGGGTGGACTACCCCAAACCCATGGTGAACCATGCGGAGACCAGCCGACTGAACATTGAACGCATGAAGCAGATTTACCAGCAGCTGTCGCGCTATAGGGGGCTCTGTAAGTACCAACAATAGTGAAAGATTTTGTGTTTAGTAGGAGATAAAATACTGTGAAGAGAGGTCATTATTTAAAGTAGAGAGCACTTGTCTCTCTGGCCAGGCCGTGCAAGAGGAAGTAGTCCCTGCCAAAGCTGCTCAGTCATTTTCCAGGGAGAGCTCCGTTGAGCTCTTGGACAGGTAAGAGTGGGGTTTGGTTAGTTTTGAGAGCTGGTAATGGCACGGCACCATTTATATGCCACCAATTGTCCAGTCTTCACTTTGGAAAAAGCTAGGCAGAGCATTCTGAATAAATATGCTGTTAGATCACAGTGGCTGTCTGCGGCCAGCACTGGGTGAGCACAGCTCTGAACTCATCCAGCTTTGGGATATAGATGTGCTGGTTAGTGATTACTAAGATGTTTCCATGTCAAAGGCTTCTCCCACCCCAGGAGTTGTTTGTTTCTTAACTGTGTTCCTCTTGCCTCTCTCTAGGTTTACTGGCATCAGTCCCTTCATGTGTGGAAGATCTCAGTGGCCCAGTCGCAGACTCGGTGTCAGGGCAGGGCTGCAGCACCAGTACAGGTGAGCTGGAGCTATTTGTGTGCTTCTGAGATAGTTTCTTGTCGACTTCAAGGCTACAGGCAGGAGAGAGAGATCCTTTTCTAATAAGAAGAGGATGTGGAGCTGGGAAAACATAGATCACAATTGCCTTCCTTTAGGCTTTCTTTAGAAGTCCCCAGTGAGCCTTCATTCCTAAAAGGGCTGAAGGATAGGAGTTCATTAAAGTGAATCTTCTGTTTCCTGTGTGGGATCGTATGCAGCCAGCTAAGGGAGAACTACAGATCACTGTAGGGCACAGATCACTGTAGGGCTGATCAGGTATAATTAAGCTGCCCTCCATCAGAGGATACTTTTGTGTTTGCTCTGAGAGACTTAATTATTCTGCTTTTAACAAAGTTTGTGCAAAAGTTTTCAAGAAGGCTGTGGCAACATCTCTGTGCTTGTGCACTGCATATTCTTCTTTCTCCCAGCTCTATAGCAGGTTAGGCTAGGGAGTACTTGTGAAGAGATCTATAGGCAGGGGAAACGTTGCAATGACTCTTCTTCCTCTACAGCGATGAGGCTGACACAAGCAGACCAGGCTTCTCCAAAGCGCAAACACGAGGGAGCAGAAGAGCTGTGTGCTGAAGAACTATACAAACGAGCCAAAGTGACGGATCTCCCTGCTCCAGAGATCCCTGGCAAGAGTTCATGATTGTGAGTAGTCCCATGTGTGATCTGGCCTAAACTACCTTGTTCTGGCAGTTAGCATGATTCAATCTTACTTGCTCCCTGCATTTTAATGAACAAAATGGACTTGGTTGTGGAGGGAGGTGGGTCTTAAATGTAATTCCATAGCCTTATAATTTGGCAGTAGTCTGCCCTCTGGTTGTTGAGCTTTTGCCTGACAAGCTGTTAATTCAGTTGTCCAGCAGAGAGCAGTACCCTGTTAGTAGAACAATCACAGAGCACAGTTGTTCATGGATTTGTTCTAGTGAGGCTGCTTCTCCTTCCACAGTGGGTTTGCAGCCAGGTTTGCTCATGCGGTGGGAGTACAGGCTGGAAGAGGGGAGTAAGCAGGTCTAGGTATCTGCCTGAAGTGCTCCAGCTCCCAGGAGGGAGGAGCTTGTCGCATGTACTGCCAATTTTTCAGTATGAGTGGGAGGTCAAGGCAAGTTCTGTCTTTTGCTTTCTCCTACAGCCAGTGACAAACACCTTGCAAGTGAAGAGTGAGAGTGCTGAAGAAGGTGACCAGAGGAGTAGGGACTGCTGCCACAGAAGGACTGGAACTTGGGATCCGCAACAGAAAATCTGGAGTCTCATATAAATGTGTAATTCCAATAGCTGCCACAAAAGGGCACTGCATTACTTGTGCTTGGGAATATTTGGCTTTCTGGTCTCCAGAGAGACAAATGTATCTCTTCTCAGCCATGCTCAAAATCTGCCCACACTTAAGGGGGCAAGAGCCTTCTATCAGCTTGTTCACTCCCGGGTGTATCTTTCTTTTCTGACAATGGCTCAGTGCATGTGACTTGATGCGCTGATGTAGGGTGCAGCATCTGAGCATCTCAGAAATAGTAAACGGGCTTTCGCATCACTAGTACTAGGCTGTGAGGTGCGCTGATTAATTCAGATTAGAGTAGGAATTGAGAAGGAAGCTGCTACAACGTCAAAAATAGAGTACTCATCCTACAAGAGAGCAGGAAAATTTCAGTATTTCTTTCATTAGGCTAGACTGATGGAGATATAAGTGCTTTCTGAGTAAATCAAGGTGGTATTTGTGGGATGGAAACAAAATGAAGGACAACTGTAGCACAAGAACAAGGAGATACAAATCTGAACACTAGAAAGGCACTTAAAATTTTCCCTGTACACCTGAAAGGCACTTAAAACTTTCCCTGCAGAAGAATCTCCCTGCTGCAAGGTGAGCCATAGTACTGTTGCCTGGAACAGGCAGCTTCAGAGCAGTTTGATGTGTGGGGGCAAGGGACTCTGAGAGAAGGAGGAATTCTTCAGAGAAAAAGATCATGCCTTGATATGAGTAAAGCAGTCTCCCAGAAGCTTGCTGGTCCGAATAATATGGGAGCTAAACCTGGGCCCTGCACTGTGCAGCATTTCCTTCCGAGTGAGAGCTCTCTCGAAGGGAACGACTGGTGTCTGGTGTGAGTGCCTCATGCCAGTGGGGGATGTGTTACACATCAGCTCCTTGAAGTGAGTCTTCCTCGGGCTTGGTCCGTTGTCCATTCTATGTGGATATTTGCTCTTTCCTGTGTTGACGTCTGTGTTTCAAGTTTCTACACGGTGTACTCCTGTTCCTCCTACCCTGCACACTGCTCCTTCTTGCCATTTGCATTCACACTGGTGCTTTGTAGTCTAGCAGAACAACTGTGTAGCTTTCCTGGCTCTTAACCATACGCTCCTTGGCCTGGTCCTGTTACACATCATTTCAGCACAGTGCTGGCAGAGCGCCTCTGCTTGCCTTCCCCACTAAGAGGGCAAGAGAGGGTAGTACTGCAGAAGAGCCTCTCTTTTGGCCATTTTCAAGAGGGATTAGATCGAGTAGCTAACCTTGTGCGATGGTCTGCTGTTGGCACTGTTCTCATTTGCTGTCCGAAACCTTTCATCTTCGCCTGGCACAGATGGTGTGGGGCTATAGGTGAGCTTAGGCAGCTAACAGCTTGGGGAGCGTGGTTGTCTCCCGCTCTGATAATCAGGTTCAGTTTTGGAGCCCGCGTTTGAACCCAGAGCAGTGGGGCTGCGAATAGAAACTGACTCAAATGTATCTGGGAAACCTGGAGTGCTCGAATTGGGTTTGTGAGTTAATTTATTAAATAGCTGAATAACATTTCCTTCCCACTCATCTCCCTGGGGCATCGACCCTAGATTCCTTTTCCCAAAGGGATCCATGGGGTAGACTGACCAAGTAAACAAGAGTCACTTTTCCTGCCCTCATTTTCTTCTTAACTACTATTCATAGTGTCTGCATGGTGGGTAACCCAGCAATCATCAGGTTTTGTTTCCTTCACTCTGACCCAGACCTTACTCCCACTGTCCTGAGGGTAAAAAGGTAATAAAGAAAGAGACCTTCCACCCCATCTTCTGCTGCAGAGAGAAGAAAGGGGAAAGACATGCACTTTGTACACTTAGGTTCTAGAATTTGTGACTTCTGTCATTTGGAGAGTTCCATGCTTAGGCAACGGTCTGTAAATATGACCTTTTTTTTATATATAAATGTCTTTAACCTTTTCTTTGCTGTCATTCAAATTATTTTGTTTGGTAAGTGTCATTTTTGGGGCTGGATCCATGAGGATACGGAGCCAAAGGGAGGGGAGGCAAAGTCTCTTAGAAGGCTTTGTGGGTGCAGAGGAAATCACATTTGCAAGGTTTTTCCCTGTGACATCTCAATGTGATCCTTGTGGCACCTGGATGAGCTGCAGTTCAGGTAGTAGAACTCAAAAGGACACGGAGAAGCACAAAGCTAACCAAACATAAGGGAAATACTTTCTGCAAGAGACCTGTTAAATAGGCTGGGATTCATCCACTTTGATATCTTTTCCCAGTTGAAACAATAAAGGTGGGTAAAACTGTGTGACAAAGAAGCAGAACAGGGGATGGTTGTTCACTTTTTTGTGTAATATTTAGGATTGGGCATGTTCAATTAAATCACAAGATGGCAGATTGAACAACGCTGCACCTTTCTTAACATAGATGTTTTCTGTGGTCAGCTCTTCCTTCATTGTGGGTGCTAACAGTCTGACTGAATTCAGAAAGGCTCAGCCACTTCATGGGGAAAGAAAAAGCCATCAATAACCATTAGTGAAGATACCATCTTTGTTTCAGGAAGGAGCATAAGATTGCTGGAGGCTGAGATAACAAAGGAAGCATCATGAAATGAGTGCCAGTTTGAGGATTTCCATTTCCTGGGATAATGGCTGTTTTCTGGGGCTAGGTGGCAATATCTGACCTGAAATAGGCACCCCCAAAGCAGGCACAGGGTGAGCTCATTGCCTGGGAGGCGAGAGCAGCTGGGTTTTGGTACTGTGAGAGCAGTGGCTCTCAGGATGATCCCCAGGGCGGTGTGGAGGCTCCTTTAGACTGCGAAGGTGGGCGCTGGGGCAGAGAAGTGCCCACAGAGCACTTCAACGTGTGTCTCCTGTCCGTGACTGAGCCTTGCTCTTGCAGTTCTTCAGCTAAGTTGTGAACTGATATTAAATACACCATGACTTATCAATCTAGTAACTAGCTAGGATGCAGCTGGAGTAAAGTTCTGCTTGTGCGTTATGCCGCCATCCTCAGTGCTCCTGTGACTGGAATCTTTTTTTGTCTTTGAAGAATTCGATGAGGTACGTTATTTTCTTAGTAACCAGCATGACTTCAGGAATTGGAAGTAGCCGTGACATCTCATCCAGGTTTGGCCATGGGGCTGATCTAGAACAGAAGTTGCTAGAGCCTTGGCCTCGGGTGGGTACGTTCAGATAGCATCCATCCCAAACACCAGCTAAGCAATTGTTACAAACAATCCAACAAAGCCAAGACACAACTTTAAAACATTTTGTGTTTATAAGCGTTTAAAATTTGGAGCCTAATTTGTTTGTCAAGTTTGAGAAGTAAAACACGGTTTTTGAAGATGCAGGGTGTTTCAAAGATGTGCTGGAGATCAAAGGGTGTGTCTGGTCTGCAAAGAGGGCAACAGGTACAGTTCGTTGGACTGAGGGAGGATGCAGTCAAGGCTCATGCTATTGCTGAGCTGTTCTCTTGTCTCCAGCAAGGACCTTGTGGGCTTGAGGAAGTAACACTCAAATGCTTAAAGTGGCTTGTAAGTGGCTTGTACATGACAGAAACCTTTTGAAAATAGCAGCTCATACCTTAGCAGATGAAGAGCTAGGATGACAGCAAACTCAGTCCAGCTTTCTCTACCCAGAGTGTAATAATGTGAACTAAACCTGGAAAGGTTGGATTTGAGGCTCCTTCTCTGTGCTGGCCAGAACATCTGTTCACCCTGACAAAGGAATGATGGTGATGTGGCTAGGGGTGGAAACTGGCTAACCTTGGGTTTCCAGCAGAGAGTAACTGCCTGGTCCATGTGCTGGTGGTTGGGAAAACTCTCTTCCCCCGTGTCTCTTCTGTCTGCACAGAGGAGGAGCTGGAGCAGCTTCAGGAGGGGATGGCTGAAAGGGTTGGAAGTAGAAAACACACATGGATATGAAGAGATGGGAGCCAGAGCTGCAGCTGCTGGGGCAGAGGGGAAATTGGAGCAGTGAGAAAGAAGGGTGGTTGGTCCTGCATGTAAGACAGTTCGGTCTGGACATCCAAACTGGGAAGGGGACACCTGGCGCCTCTAGGAGGCTGCCCCAGGTGTACCTGCACGTGGTGACCCTGTGGGTGTGCACTTGTTTCTGCGCTAGCTCAGGAGTGACATCTCTTTTGAGTTTGTCTGGCAGGAGACCAAGCCTCCTGAGAGTGAGCAGGGCTGTGTGCCTTGGAGGGCTCTGCCTGCTCTTCTCTGGAGGAGCAGCTGAAGTCCTGGGTCTTGGCCAAGAACTAATACCATCACCTCGATGGCAGTCAGCTCTCTGGTTTGAGACACACTGATGGGACCTGCTGCATCTTTGAAGTTTGAACTGCTAGAGCAGTGCCACCCACCCCAGCCAGGGCTGTCCCAGACAGTAATCAGGAACATGGTGGACATGCAGGGAATACTGGTCAGGTACAGAAGTGGCCTTGGGACCTAAAAAATCCTGATGTTGTGGAGGAGGGCAGCAGCAAAGAGCATTCCCCCAAGGTAAGATGCTTCCTGGGACACAGCTGGAGGCAAGAGTGGGTCTGCCTCTTTTTGGGAAAGACAACTTCGAGATGCATTTTTTTCCCCGTTGTACCTGTGGAACACGTGTATAACTTGCTTTTTTAACTCCCCTTGCTGTGCTTGCAGCCCTGGCACGCTTCAGGAGGAACAGGGTTTGTCCTGAGGCTGACAGACCTGTTGCCAGCTGGGTGCTGCAAGCCTGGGGTGGGGGGGAAAGCACACCCCTATTTTAGCTGCTGCTCCTGCCGCCTCCAGGCGTGTCCCCAAGGGGAGGCGACCCTTCGAAGTGTCCCTGGGTGTCCAGCCCCCACCGTGGGCTGCTGCTGTGTTGCTCCCTCCGCCCTGGAGGACCGAGCCCCGGGCGAGAGGCCCC